AGACTTAAAATACATAAAAATCTCTAGAAAATAATAAACAAAAGAATCGATAATACCAAAGATTTAAAAGATTAAAGATATTTATAGAAAGATTTCTATTGAAGTGATAATATCGATAAAGAAAAAAATTCGTGGCAACAAAAATTTATGAGATTCAAAGTAAATAAAAATAAAATTCGCTGTGTAATTAAAAATACAAGAATTTGTAATACATCGAAGATTTATGAGATTAAAGATATTTATGAAAATAACTGTTGAAGCAAAATTGATAGAGATCTCACAAAAAATTTGTGGTAAAGATCTTAGAGAGCTTAATAATAAATACAAAAAAATAAAAAATATGTGATAAATGCAAGAATTCACGATATCGAAGATACGAGATTAAAAAGCTTCATTAAAGTAGTAAAAGTCAACAGATATAAAATTCATAACATCAAAGGTCTCTCCAAAATATTATATATAAAAATAAAAATCAAGAATCTGTAGTATTCGAGGTCCGTAAGATTCAAAGCGTGTACATAAAAATCAATGAAACCGAAGGTCGATACGAACGGGGGAGAATCCCTGCTACGCAAAAGATCCGTGAGGTCAAAGAAAACGATACAAATAGAAATCTATGGCATCGAGAGATCGTAGGAAGAGGCACCGAGGTATCAAGGGTCCGGTACAATCCCGGATCTCGACGGTATCCGTGGATACCGAATTACGACGTTGTCGCGATACCGAAAGCCTTTGTGTGGCGAGTGCGTTCCATTTTATCGATATTCCGAGCACCGAAGGCGATCGATAAAACGATACACGCGGCCCCGCGCTGCACGTGGAAAATATATATATATATCGGGGATATCGGCGTGTGGCGCGAGAGATGTGTATCCGTTCACCAAGAACTCTCGGTGCCTGACATTTCAGAGGCGTTCTGCTTTCCTCACCGCGCCGCGCGCCCGGCGTTCTAGCGCGCGGCGTTCGCCGTGCGCGGCACGCCTAAACCGGGTCGGACGCGGATACACACAACGCGCGCGACTCCTCTTCGCGCGTTTTCCCGCCTAATGCAACGTATACGCGCGCACGTACCTCGTAATAATAGCGCGTAATATCGGCTTGAACGCGCGCCTGCCCGCCTGCCTGCCTGCCTGTCCGTCCGCCTGTAAAAAGAGCGAGAGGGAGAGCGAGAGGTAGAGAAAAAGACAGACGGAGAAAGAGAGAGGAAGGCGGCCGCGTATTCCAACGCGCTGCGCGTTGCGTAATTCATTGTTCGGATGCAACACAACGGACACCCGCGCCAGGCCGCGCCGAAGCCCCAAAAGAGTCGCGGCCAGGAGTCTACTCCGCTTTCACGGACGCCGAACGCTCTCGCGGGAGGAATAGAAGAAGGATTAAATCATCACGCCCCCGAGGTATTCTCTCGCAAAAAAATTCACGGCAAAACACCGAGAATCTTGCCGCTATTTTCAAGTTTCATCTGCCTCCGACAACGACCGAGATGAAACGCCATGACGAATGCACGATGAATTATTTATTAAAACGACGAATGCCGATGAATTATTAATTCAGCGTGGGTCTGTATCTAATCTCTCATAGTGTCAATAATTGTCTCATTTGTAACATAACACAGTTTCTTCTTTTCAATATGTTTTACTTCGTTCGAATGCACGGCGTTGGCTCGAAAAATAATGGGAACTTACATGAATGCGTTTTTCGAGATACGAGTATTCTACGGCGAATTTCAATCACAAATGTAAATTTGGCAAGGCCGCATTTCGACGCGATGATCTTCCCTTTCTCTCTGCCTTTCCGTCTCACTCTTTCGTATACGGCGATTGAAACGACGTTTCGGAATTTACGTTACAATAAAAGCCGGCGCGCCCGTGCCACGGGATCAACAAATGCCAGCATTAAGTAATGCCAATCCTGCAAATCGCTGATTTCGTAACGACCCATTATTATCGGTCGGAGGAGCGATCACGTAACCTTGTAACCGTGCCCACCGCGATTACGCATCGTAATTTTCGAACGCCTTTTACGTGTCCGCAGGAGATTCGCGCGATTGTAAAATTTATTTTCGTAATCGGACATCGCCGCGTTGTCGCCGCCCGAAGGTATGCGCGCGTTTATAAATATTTATTCCTACTTAGCAATTTTTCTTACGATATCAACGCGAGAAGATGCACGCTCGCTAATACTCCTTCCTATTCATTCGTGCCATTTGTCCATGATGACATGAACGTCCACGAGGAAATGGAAAATTGATTAAAAATTTTATATTCCAAATATGAAGTGCATTCTTTTCTTACGTCTCAAATATATTCTATAAAAATATATCTTCAGAAATATCAAATAGAAATATTTATCAATACTTTTTCTTTACACTGTGTATAAAATTTTACTTTTTTCCATACTTTTCACAAGCAGTAAACTTGAGATACTTAAATGATAACGATACCAAAGTTAATTTATTATCTCCTCATGATCTCAGTTACATTTTGAAAAATTTAATTTGCAAAGTCTATACTTGGCAAAAGAGATGGTAATATCTTTACCGGGTGTTATCCTTTACCTCAAAGGACACTGTGATAACTAAATTCTCTAACAAACAATTAGATTACTCATAATATTCGTCGTAATGCACGAGGATGCAAGATCGCTGTTTTCGCATGTACGTAATACTTATCCTTAGAATCAACGTTGGCGCGATATTACGCGGCGCACGTCCGGAAATATTCGAGCCGCGTTTCGAGACGCTCATCACACGGCGAACGAGCTCGGCGAACGCAAATATTTTCGCAGAGCGCTATCGCGTGCCGCCTGCGACGAATTAAACTATCGTTCGCGGCGATTTTAATGGCCGGGTGCGATCCTCGCCGTCAGTCACGCGCGTGAAAACGTAAAAGCGCTTCGCGTAAACGACGTAGGCGTAATTCTGCAACGCGCATGTGTTTTATAAACATATCCAGGGCCACGTCAATTCGCGATCGGGGACTCGCTGAATCGCGTATCGTGCTATCATTTTGACGTTTCGTCGAAGGGACAATCGACTCGAGCACTCGCTCGGCGGTTTTCGGAAGAAAAATAACTCCGACGTCGGGAGACGATAATCGCGAAAGAAAAATACGAGCGCGAGAGGAACTGCGGCTATTACACTCAGTTTAAATCAGACCTCGCCAAAGTCAAACGGGATCTATCTCGCGAGACGAGATTCAACTTGCGAAAGTTAGATATAGTCCAACTTTGCGCGAGGTGGATCTTACACGTCGCGGCCAGGAATATACGCGGAACGAAAGCGAGAGAATATTCGCCGGGAGAAGACTCGTTTCAAAAATTCCGCGAATAAACGACGAGATGAAAACAAACACCGGGGAGAGCGAGACGAGATGCCACGCTTCATCCGAGCGGATGCGCGAAAACAACGTCAAATTCACAATTCGAGAGAGAAACGCTGGCAGAAGAATCACAGCGGATCATAATTGCGAGCGCGCGCGTTTGTGCTGTTCCCCGCGATATCATCTACTTAATTCTCGTTTCCGAGCTGCCTTTCGTGGATCCGCACCCCCCTCGGCGGAGGAGTCCCGTTATTCTCTGTGAAACAATAACATGGAACGGAGTGCGAATCAATCGCGGTGGCACACGTTAGAATTTTCCTCCTCCGATTGTATCCTCGTCCCCGCGGCTCGCGTATAATCACCGATGGATCTCTCGTCTCGCCGAGAAAATTAAATCGATGTCGAGTGTAATATAATGCCCGCCGCGAGATATTTCCCGTGTCTCGCATCGCCGACTTTCAGCGGCACTCGCATTTCGCTCGAGTGCAATTAGATTCAATTAAAATTGAGATTTCCTAGCGAGCTCTTATTCCGCACGAAATCCGCGTTCGTTTTGAATGTTAAATGATCTGTTACGCCAACTTAAAAGTCGCAAATAAAGAGTTAAAGAAATTGAATAAGACATTAAATAATTATCTTATAGAAAATATTTCTATTGAGATAATCTGTTAGGAATTTTGTAAAATAAAATTGGAGACAAAATTTTCAATTCCACACAATTTTAAATAATAGAGTGGGACTGTATGCTTTTAAATTATTGACTTCGTAAACTTAAAAGTCACGAACATAGTGGAAAATTAGAAATTACTAACAAGTAATTCTTTCATAAGATTTTTCTACTAAATTAACCTAAATTAAAGATTTTTAAAAATAAATTGGACATGAAATTTTCTTAAATAATAGAGTGACATTTTGTGGTCAATTATCAACTTTGTAAAATTAAGAGTCACAAATAAAATTTTATATAAAATGTTCCTATTGAATTAATACGATTCAAGATTTTTTTAAATAAATTGTACACAAAATTTTCTTAAATAATAGAATGACATCTTTAAATTCTATTAACTTTGTAAATCTCACAAATTCATAAAAGTCACAAATAAAAAGGAAGGTTAAAGATACCAAGTGATTGTCTTTTATAAAAAAAAACTATTGCAAATGAAAATTTCACAAATAACGAAACGAAATTGTATAGCTTTTGAATTATTGGCAGTTAAGATAATAAGTTCGCGAATTAATTTGTCAAATAAATATTAAACAGTCGTCTTTCTTCGCTTGGTTTCAGATTCGCTTGTTTAAAGACCACTAATCTTACGGCTAACTTCAAAGACATCTGATATAATAAGCGAAAGATTATGGCGGATGATGGCCCTCTCGCCAGGGAAAACCGGATTCCGACAACGATCAACTATATGTTACAAGCTGAGGCCGCGTAAATACCGAAATCGTCCCGATTCAATCTCCGAAACGCAACGATCGTATCCGCGATTAAATAAACCGGGCGCGTCCCGGTGCGATTTGAGGCATCGGCCGTCACGAGTCGTTGCACTTTTCCATGGCCAACAGGTGGTAGCCCCGCTCCGAGAGCGAGGAAACGCGACAGAAAGGGACTCCGAAAGTACGACGCGCTCGCACGAAAACACGCAAGGGGGGAGGGGGAGGGGGGGCGCACACCCGACATACCTCGAAAACGGAGTGAATCTCGGCGCAGCGATGATGTCCTTTCTGATGTCCGGCGAGGCGAAGATCCTTCGTCCTTCCTTCGTCCTCGTCCCTCGCCTAGGCCGCTGCTCCGGCGTTACTCCGAAAAGAGGGACTCCTCTTGAAGTTGGACACAAAAAGTTTCACACGATACGCGGTATATATATATACATACACCCGGCACCAGACTCGGAGACACGCGCGAACCTGTCGCGTCGCGACGCGCGACTGTTGCGGGCGTTTCGTATTTGTGAGACGGGACGTGCGAAATCGCGTAACGCGACGGCGCGACGCAAGGAGAGAACGGAGCGGCTGTATACACGACCGACGAGACGCGCAGATGGAGCATAGACTATGGAGTGGGACGAGCGTCGCGGCACGACGGGCGCTCGGACTTCGGCGCGATTCGGCGTAGCTCGGCGCACGGCGCGAATGGCGGCGGACCGGCGGCGGCGGCGGCGGCGCCGAATGGCGGCGGAGACAGCCGAGCGCGACCGACGGACGCTCGACGGTGCTCAGCTGCTCTAGGTTATGTATTGTACTTCGCGTTTCACGTTTCTCATTTCGAGCTCATGTTACTCGTGTATCGCGGTACTTATCGGCGATTGTGCTCTTCTTATAATTTGGAAATTATATTTTTCTTTATTTAGAAATATTTTAGATCCATATAAATCAATCTGTGAAAAATTATGTCAATATTAATAAACTCAAAATCTCAAGTATTAAGTATCAATTAAGGCACCGGCAACATTTATTAAACACCTACTTAACTCTCTGCGTCATGACGAAACGCTCAGCGTTCCACTTTTTTCTGTTGATTTTTTATTATCATGATAAATTTTGGGAAGCGAGACTCGAGGTCTGTCTACGGAACCAGGAGGCCTCGGAGATTTGAGGAATCCTTCATGGAGGCTTCCTCCATCCTTAAAATAAGAAAGGACTTTGAATACGAGTATAAATCATGGGAGACAGAAATAAATTTTTTTTTCTTTATTTTTTCGGGGACTAAAAATCTAATGTAAAAAAGTGATAAGTGTTTTTTAAATAATCTTGTATAGAATTAGTTCTGTTCTTATGTGCTTGTATTATTATGTTCTTGTATTATTATATGCTTGTATTATTATGTGCTTGTATTATTATATGCTTGTATTATTATGTGCTTGTATTATTGTGCTTGTATTACGGCAAGCAGATTGGGCAATTACTTCGTTTGAAATAATTCCTACGACAGATGATCTGCCGAGACATGTTACAGTTTGGCACTGTACAATTCTTTCCGACTTGACAATTTGTCATGTGATTCAGAACACGTTTTTCATGGTTTTACAAACCAGCAAGTATTTCATCTGCACTATTTCATCTGACCGTTCGTTTGACTCTCGTGTCGTTGGCATTTATAGGTTTACAAAAGTAGCACCAATTGTTGCTGTATGAATGTACATTTTTCTGGATGTCTGCTGTCCAGCATTGCGGCCACGGCTTGGTCTTGTGTATTCATCTCATTGTCAGCTATTCCTCTCCCCTACACAAATAAACACGAATATAGACTAACATTTTTAATAAATGAAATACAAAAGACTGCAAACACATTCACTTGTTTTAGTTTAGGTAGTACTCTACAATTTACTATTTAGAAGAAATTGATAGAGAAATGCTTGGAAAAAAAAATAGAATAAATTTTTTTACTATCTACATACTTTTCTAGACGTCTGCTATCCAGTATTGCATCTACAGGTTCGGTTGGTATTGTATTCATCTGCTGTTGAGATTGTTGCTGCTTGTCGCGACATAATGTATACTACATATAAAAATCCATTAATAATAAATTAAATATTACAAAGTGAAATCGGCCGGCACGTGATTTCAGTCTGCACGCGACGTATGCCGGACGATCGTTCATGTGACGTCGCGCTGCAAACTCGGGTAAGCAGGTGAGGGGTGTCCTGCATTTTGTCGCATATTATCATTCTAAATGTGGAAATCAAAGGAATAATATGATTAATTTAATATCAATCGTTTGACATTCTTTTATATTTCGTGAGTACAATGTGCTTTATTGTGTACACTATTTTTACATTTTTAAATGTAAAATAATATAACACTAAAATAAATTGATAAAGTTAAATTTTTAAATTTTATATTATTTATATCATATTGTAGTATATTATGTAATACTTTCTAAATATTTTTCATTTTATATTATAGTATAGTATTATAGTATATATTTTATTTTATATTATAGTATATTATGAATTATATTATTAAACATTTGATTCATGCCTTTTAACTTCCATCTGTTATCAGTTTTGAATATTTGATTATTTGCATCCGTTTGACGTCTGTTGCTCCAGCATAGCGGCCACAGGGTCGGTTGGTCTTGGATTCATTACAGCTGCACGAGTAGCTGTGATGAATTTAAATCGCCTTCTTGTAGCCCTTGGTTGTCCGCATGGATCTTAGTACCATTGTTGAAGTCGCCTTCTACACGAGTAAACACAAATATATAGACCTTAGAATATATATTACTGGAAAGAGAATTGCCTATACCGTCCATCAAGCTGAAGCCAACGTCTGTGCGAGAGAGAAAGGTATAGTCCCAATTGCCTGTAATGCGCATGTGCCATTCAGCCCCCACTTAGCCCCGTTTTTCATTTTTTTTAAAATTGATTGATGAAAAATCGTAACCTTTCAATTTTTAATTTTTTAAATTTAAATTTATGGCTATACTATATAGACACTTTGAGAAAAAAAGTCACGTCATTGATGTCAGAATGACTCTAATGCAAAAGCGAAGTTACGCGAACAGCTGTTATACGAACGCCTGACACGATGATAGCAATACTGGCATCTAAGCCCAAAGAGAATCTTAAACTTTAAGTAGATGTCAAGTCAAAATAAGAATATAGAGATACAGGGTCTCAAACTTTTTTTAGGCTCCAATGAAGCCCCCCCTCCCTCACATAACCACGATGGGTTAATGTCAATCAACTTACTCGTTGCTTAATAAAAGCAGCCATTAACGGTGGATTGCTCTTGAGTATTTGGAGCATTTGGTTCTGCTGGTCGGGCGTGCGCGGGTTCCTGAGAGTCTGCGTCAGTTGCTGAAGAGCATGCTTCTGCATGCCTCCCTGCGGACCGACCTGTCCCACCGGTCCGATCACTCCTGGTTGTCGCGGCAACTGAGCACTCATTCCCATCCCCGGTTGAGCTTGATGCTGCAATTGCTGCCGCTTTATTTTGGGCTTAATGTTAAAACAGAGTGGGACGAGACACTTGGTCTCTTGGCAGTGTTTTGCGTGATAACAACATAACGCGATCAGTTGTTTGCAAATAGGACAACCACCCTTTGTCTTTCTCTTGCAGTTCTTCGTATGCATAACTACTCGCTTCATCTTCTGGCAGCTCGGTAAACGACAGTTTGCATCTCTGCATTGGCAAGCATGCACCAATGCATAAATACATCTCTGTATCGATACTTTCTTTTTCTTGGCCTTCTACAAGCAGAAAAGGAAAAAATATGAGAGCATTATAGGTTCATTGTGATGACAGCACGGATATCTTTAGAATAATCTGATAAGTTACCTGTGCCGTTTGTTCGGCATCGACCGGTGAAGAGTTATCATTCATTTGTTGCAGTAAGACTCTACACATTTGTGGATCGGGCGTCAAATTTGCACCTAAACCAGACAAAGTTTGCATTGAGCGAAGGTTGTGCACATGTGAATGCAATTCACAATGTGATGCAATTCATAATAATACAAAATAAAGAGATATAAAACCTCTAGAGACATATGCATTTATATTATATATAAATATATGTGTCTCTGAATGAATGCCAATGAATTTGAAATATCTGCTAAATCATAGAAGACATAAAAAAACACATTTTTTTTTTACTTTTTCAGAGAGTAAAAATCTGATGATGCAAAAAAATGACAAGTGTTTTCAAATGTGTTTACTTTGCGCAGAATTAGTCCTGTTCTTATTTGCTTGTTTTATCGGCAAGCAGACTGGGCAGTCACTTCGATTGCAGTGCTTCCAATGATCGATGATCTGCCGAGACATGCTACAGTGTGGCACAGTACAATTCTTTCCAGCTTGACAATTTGTCATGTGATTTAAAACGTTTTTCATGGTTTTGCAGTCCGGCAAGGTGCACTGTCTCATCTCACCGTTCGCTTGACTCTCGCGTCGTTGGCATTTATGCGCATGCAAA